GAGGCAACAGTGCTACCAACTGCGCCACCCTGCAGCCAGCAAGTCTACCAATATATCACAAATATTTTACATTTCACAGTTTTGTTCAGACACAAAAGATGCCGTGTTTTTGATAACAGTACAAAGGCATGGCTACAATGTAAAAGGCATCACAAAGTGACACTGTAGTCATGTTTCACTACATGGGGCAGTTCAAGGCAGCAGGAACTTGAATCTTTTTCTAGTCTAACATCACTTTGTATTTACACCCCAACATTATGCTTCTCTCTATGTCAAGAGGAAGCTACACACTTCATGTTCATACCTGCATTAGAGTTTATTAATCGGGTTGAAGCAATGTCTGGTGGTTCACTGTAATTTGTGAATTTATTTAATTAGTTGGCGGATTTATTATCTGATAAGTTAGAAGTGAGTTTGTCCAATTTGTTCATTTTTCACTTTAAGAGTTAAAAAAAAACGTTTAAGATTCAAGTTCTAACAGCTGACTTCATATACATCCATGTCCGTCTTGTTGGTAATCTCTGGACATGAGCGGCAGGCCGGGCACACAGGCAGCTCTGGGCCGGATGGGCAGGTTGGGCATCTCGGTCGTTTGAAGCTGAATAGCAAACCACTGCCTCCCAGCACCTGTAAACAGGAACCCAGCCACCCAAAGTAGAGCGAGCCAGCCGGATGCAAGCTGAGGTGGGGGAACCTGGGGTTGTTGATCCTCTGACTCGGATCCGTCCCGAGTCTTCGGAGGTTGTGGGTGTACACCCCTAACGCAGTCAGGCTCAGCAGCCCGGCCGTCACCACCAGGAGTCCCCCCGAGGCTGTGACGCCTCTCAGGGGCAAATCAGTCCAGCACCGAACCCCAATACAAGCCAGAACAATACCGGTGCCGCACAGGAACAAGGAGGTGAGCACCAAGCCTTGTGCCAGACGAACCCGTGGGTCTCTCTGATATGGACCAGCTACAGGCCAACACTGCTTCAGCTCCGAGTGCTCCACCTGCAGGCAGCTCTCCCAGAGTCCGTCAGAGCGCACTAAGAGCAGCGCCTCCACTGACCCAGACCTGACCCCTATGCCCTGACCTTTAGTGCTCGACCGAAGAAGAGACCCCGGCCCTGTCATGCTCAGACGTGCCTGTCCCTCTCTCCACTGAGGGGTGATGGCAGCCGTGAAGACCAGGACCAATCCCAAAGGGGCAAAGACAATCCCCATCACCATGGAGGCTGGAGTGTGCATCATTAGTGTTACAGCCCTGATTCACAGAAAAAACTGTTGAGATTCAATTAGTTTTCTGGAAAAATAAAACAGTACCAGTGGTCAGTGAATGTTTTCCATAAGACGGATGACGGTGGCTCTTACTCCAGAGAGGGATGCTTCTTGCTGGTCAAATATTGGTCTGGTGAGACCAGAAATTCTGGAAAACATAAGACAGCATGATTGTCATGAGTTGTTCAGAGAAAACAAAATCCAGTCTTCATCAAGTGTAAGACATTAGAGACCTTTAAACTTAAAAGAGGTATGAATTAGCTGATAGCAGAAGCAAAGATAGTCAGTACAGCAATCAGAACGATTAAAGTTCAAAATCTTAATATCCAATACCTCTTCATTGAACCTCTCGTCTCTTTGAGCTGCAGATTCCTCATTCTGACTGAACGTGAGTGAAAGAAAGAGATTTGGTCAGAGAATGAGACGGTGCATGTCAGGGCAGAGTGACGGAAAGAGAAGCAGAGACAGAGACACAACAGAGGTGTGAAGTAGAGTAAAGACAAACGCACAAGCAGCTCGAGAAAGAGCAAAGAGAGGCTTGGCTTCACTGCTCCTGCACTGGACAGGAAAAAACTGAACGGTCGATGTCTGTCTCTGTTGCTAGGATACAATAACCTGGCCAGTCACAACTTGACAGTGTGTAGATGTATTTATCACAAGAGCTGATAGTCTCACATATGCAAAGGTTGGCAAACTGAAGTTCAGCTGTGTGTGAGCTGTGCTGTTTTGTCAGACAACTGACGGCCAGCTGTGACCTTGGAGGAATTCAACTGGATTAGTAATTACAATAGGACGATGTTTGAATGCAGAGTGAGTCTAGTGTCTCAACCCGGAGGAGGGAAGAAAGAACGCCGTCTGGTTAATGAACAAGACAACCTGAAGATGTGTATGAGTCACGCAGACACACAAGTGGCCAATATCAATTCACATCTCTGTCAAACAACCACCCTTAACAGAGATATTATGATAGCACCCTAGTGGGAAGGGGGACACTTGAAATAAAAACACTCCGGAAGATGTCCACTTGATTTTCCAAACACAGACTACCGAAGCCTCATGTTAACTTTGTACTGTAAAATCCACAGGAGGAGATTTTATCCCCATCAGTTACAATAAAAATGCATTACAAAGGGATCTCCTGACAGCCAGAATAAACTGGAAAAATACAGCAAGCAAACAGTGGCACCTGACTATTGTTTAAAAATGGAACTGTCAACATATCCTTTAGATAGCCACGGTTGCTTCATAGTCTGTCATTTTGTAGGTATGCAGCCACTACACGTCTCATCCCAGTAAACACCCTTTTCAGTACAGAATCTTTTTCCAAATCACTAAAAATGTGATGATAAAATATGAAGCACAAATGTGACATATGTGGGTTTCCTGTTATTATTGGTTATGATTTAATGCTAAAACTAAACATAAGTCATAAAACTAAATATCTTACTTGCAGTAAATAAAAAAGTAAGAATTTAAATTGAAAAACAAAAACAAAAGCAACAACTAATTAAATATAAGGATGCAAATAATAGATTTATATTATACCCAGCACACCTTAAGATTTGGCTATGGTAAACTGTTTCATGCATGAAACCTCAAAACCACCGAAGAGCAGGTTTACAAACTGCTGAGCTGTAATGACTTCAGCATTTCATTATTATCTATACACCACTTAATCCTCACAAGGGTCGCGGGGAGCTGGAGTCTATCACAGCTGACTCAGGGCGAAGGCGGAGGAAACCCCGGACAGGTCGCCGGTCTATCGCAGGGCTACACACGACAGACAACCAAACAGACTCAAATTTTTCACCTACGGTCAATTTACAATCACCAAGTAACCTCAACATGTTTCTGGACCTTGTGGGAGAAAGCCAGAGAACCCGGAGAGAACCCATGCTGCATGTTGAGAGCATGCGAACTCCACGCAGAAAGATCCCGGGTGTCCTCACTGGGACACGAACCAGTGACCTTCTTGCTGCAATGGTGCTAACCACCGAGCCACCTTGCAGCCCCAAATTTTTATTAAGTTAGTTATTTATAAATCAAATGCATTTCTAAATGTACATGTGTGTTATATGTATGGATATTAATATACTGAGACATACAGACACTTTAGATGTTTAGCTTCTTAGTCATTCTTTTGCAGTGATATCAAAGAGGCACTGATCAACTGATCAGTGCCTCTTTGATATCACTTTCTTTGTTTACTGCACTTTGTATGAATTCAATTGATTCACTGCAAGAATGTTGCTAACTAAAGTAGTTGTATGATAGTAAAATAAATAAAAGTTTCTGAGGCAAAACAGACTTTTTTGGTGCTTACAAAGGTCACAAATTTAGCATAACTTTCAGAAACTTACATTAGCCATATTTGTACATTTGACCTGTAATAATGTTCCCTCTGAAAATGTCACTCAAGAGGTTTAGTCGGCCTCCTTTATCTCCTTTATTTCATTGGAAAATATATTAGTAAAGAATCAAAAACAACTGAGCTGGCATCAGTCTAACAATATTTGAGAACAGACAAGGAAGTGTGTACTGAACTAGGCGAGAATATGCAAAACATAAATCCCCATGAGAGTGCACATCTGGATGTTGATGCAATGGAAGCGAGCGGAGTGCACATACCTGTCGTCTGGTGTCACCTTTACTGAAAACTACATCCTGTTTTGTTACTGACGCGAAGAGGAAAAGACCGAAACATGAGATCTGACCCAGCTGTTAGGAGATCAGGCCATTGTCTGCATCAGGAGTGAACTAATTAACAGTCAGCTGCATCCCAAAGTCTCACCAGGCTGTTAATTATGTTTTTCCACACATTCATTGTTTTAAAATTAATAGTTCTTCTTGTTGTTTTTGTGCAATTTCTCAGATTTTAATTTTGGCAGGGAAAATCTGAGCCTTTTCCATCCTCAAAAAAAAAAAAAAGAAATCAATCACATCATGTTGAAAGATGTACCTGCCAAGTCTATTGATTGCCGTCTGCCACTGTAATGATTGTCTGGCACAGTGACTTCCTTGGGTGCTGAATTTGTTTTGATGCTCAAAAAAAATGGCAAGAGGAAAGGTGTGGAAACATCTGCAGGGAAGCACTGAAAAAGACTGGTGATGAACTGAAAAATGATAAGCGCACTGTATATTACCTGTTTAAACGCCATACAGACACATTTGGAGTAAAAAAGCAAATACATGCACACACGCACAGATACGGTCCATGAAGTCACAGTCACTTACCATTCAGGAGGGGTTGTGTGTATCTCACTGCAGATCGCTGGCTGCCTCCCTGCTGAATGGCAAACATATTTCTCTCTCTCTGGCAGCAGATGGTGTAGCCACCTCTTCATTATTCTCGCTCCCTCTTTCTTCCCATCTATCCTTGCTTCAACAGTTTCGCTGCCTGCATCTGCTTCTTCATTTTCTCTGTCTTCATTTCTCTGTCCTTGTGTCTGTTCCCCCCCCCCCACACACACACACACACCCTTCTTTCCTTTTTTTCCTGCAGTTTCTCCGTCTGTCTGCTTCTCTTCCCTGTCTCACTTTCTCTCTGCTCGAGCCTCTCTCTTTGACTTGCTGAAGGATGTCTGTGTTATATCTAGGACAAAGTGCCTCCCTGCTTTTTCCCTGTCAGTGTCACTTAATAGGGGAAAAGCAGGGAACGCTTCAACATGTGCGTCCTATGAAGGAGCACAAAGAGCTGAAGGAAAACATATAAGGTTTTTGTGTACTTACAAACCTTGCTTCCCACAAACATGTGCATATGCATACAAACTCAATTCCATGCAAAAATTTGCAGAAAATAGAGCAGACATCTCTCATTCACATGTGTCATGTCTTTGTTTGATCTCTAAAAAGAGCTGATTGCATAGTCAGTTGTTTCTACATTTCCAACACTCCACTTTACCTCCAAAGGCTAATTGTAGTTGTGCACACCTACACAAAGACACCCGTAATCTTTGTCTTTTGTTTGTTCCTTGGGTAACTTATCCTGGCAAATCTGTGATTGGATATTTTCTCAAATAGATCTGTGTGCTTAGCAACTGAGACAGACACAAAATCTGATATGCATTTTCTTTATTTTCTTACAAAAGGGGCAAGGTGCTGACAAAACCAGCACTGTCTTGGCATAATAAATGAAATATTACAGGGATACATGCTTGCTTTGAAATGATGCACAATGGAGAAGGACACAAGTTTTTACATACACATATACATGCATACTATGAACGTCCTGCGGCTGGCCTCAGGGTTTAGAGGGTTTGAACTGTTTCCAGAAAAAAAACTCTGTGGTTACACCATACAGTCAGGAAATGTCCACAGCTCTGGGCTAAATGTTGGCCAATACTAAGTCTTGTGTGGTTTCATGGGTGGAAATGTCTGACTTCAGGTTCTGAATGCAACCCAGTGTCGGGCGATTTGAGTCGTGAAACTACCAGGAACCTACAGGAAGATACTTTTGGCAAAGGTAAAATTAAAAAAAAAAAAAAAAAAAAAGAGTGGCAAATTATGGCTAAGAAAATGCACCATTGACTTTTGTAGAAGAAATGATGAGTACATTGAAAGCAGCAAGAATAGCAACGTTTAAAATGCTGAAAATATGCTGTACACAATTCATGAGTGGATCTCTGTAAAAAAAAAAAAAAAAAACTTGAAATACATAGCAATACGTGGAAAATCCGTTGCAACAGGCACGTGGCAAACTCATAAAACACTGTCATATTAAATTCTATTTACATTACATATGTACAAGGCGTTCATCATAAATGCTCTAACATTAAAATAATACATTCAAATGACCTGACGTGAGTGGTATTTACAAAATTAAGAAACGGTTCAACTTTCTTTTTCTGAAATCGGAAAAACTGGAGATTTCCATTCAGTCCAGTTATCTTGGCAGCTTTGGAAGTCCACAGCTTACATTGTCTCTGATTGAGCAGTGCTTTGGGAGATGGTTTAAACTGGCAGCTGTGTTTGTTGATCCTTCAGTGGAGCAAGTGGCTGACTTGCTCTCATACTTCAACCAGAGTAACCTGGAACTGACCACCGACCACCTCTGATATCTCAATGAGGAAGGCTGACTGGTTGGTATAGTGTTCAATGATGTTGTCGTCCATATTAACGAAAATGCTGGAGGGAAGATGAAAGAAAACAAAGGGTTACTTCAGGGATTGTGGAGAAATACACAGCAGAGGAAAGGACAAATAAAACTGCATTAACCTGTTTTAAGAAAAACATATTAATCTCTCAAACTAAAATGAGTAACTTGATCTAAATCTGTTGTGCTCTACTTCTCAGTCAGGTGTAACATAAACATCAGGTCTCCAAGTTTTGTGTTTGGTTCAAACACATGTCATTTGTTTTCAAGAAGCTTTTCAGGTGAAAAATCTAGTGGCACTATATCTCCTGCATCAGTTGGGGCAATAAATCAGGTCACTGTCTGTCTCCTCCCCAACACAAAGTCTAACCTTCAGGTCTTTAAAGGTTTAATGACTGAATAACCACAGGCTCATGCATTCTGCCTGCAGGGACAAGGCTGATTGAAGAGCAAAAGAGGAGGGTGGTAACTGCAGGGAGAATGTAACCGAACCAGTTAGCTTAGCTGCTCCCCCTGTAGTGATAGCTGCCAGCAAGCTGCACGAAAATCACCCATAGGTGTTTCGGCTTCTGTGAAAAGGTCTGAAAAAATGCCCTCTGACCTTCCACATAATCATGCAGGAAGTGACCCAGACTATCACCACTTGGAAAATGTTTCCACTGCAGCAGATGCTTTGTGTCCAATTGTGCTAATAAAGCAGACTTTTATCAAAGCCAGTTAGTTGTAAACACTCCCTTAACTACAACAATAGTCATTTTATAAGAAGAAGCTGATGACAGACCCATCAAGAGAGGCACCACCTTTTAAAAAAAAAATAAAAAATCATTAAAGGAGACGAAACTGTCATGTTCTTTTTTAAAACAGTGCATGCAATCCCAAGCACCAAATTCATCAGCGGAGAAGTGCATCTTGCAGGAACTCATTTGACCTTTAACACTATTCACTTGACATACGTGTGATATGTGATGGTTCCTAGCTTGACAGACAACCATTAACTAATGACTGCAAGCCTCAGGAGCCTTTATCGAAGTCAAGTATCTCTTTTCAACACTGCTTCCTGGTGTTCGTAAGAGAGGAGGTTATGAAAACATAAATAACAATCGCCCATGAGTCATATGCAGGACTTATGAAATCTTTTCATCCTCTCTCAGGCATATGTCTTTCTTTTGGAGGAGCAGCAATTAACACATTCCAGAGGGCTGAGCCAACTAACCTACCTACCTGGTCTGTCAACATCAGCTTCCTTGAAGGAGGATGAGATTAAAACCACAAACCAAAGCACTGAATATATGCACATCACCTGTGTCACATGCAATCCTTTAATCTAACTCGAGTTAAGCCCGTTGTACAATAGCTGGTGCATTAGACATACCAAAGACACAATAGGATACTCACCCTCTTTTGCATTTTTTGTAGATTTTCCCAATGGTGTCTTTTTGCATACCGTACTTTTCTGAAATCTGAGTAAGGAAAGAAATATGAGATGACAGTTAGCATGATCTCCTGCTGACAGAAAAGTGATACACTTCAGGGATGAGATACTGTCAAAAAGAGAGAAAAAAAAAGACGAGTACGGAAGAAAAGAGAGGTGAAGGAGCTGTTGATCTCCACCCTGGAAATCAGGTCACATAAATCAGGAGTGTATTTATGAGAGAGCAGTCGTGTGATACTTACAGCTTCTCGAAGGCCTGACAGCGTTGGAGAGCTGAGCATGAGCGCATCAAACGCCTCTTGAGTGCCTGTCCTCATGTACAGCAGAACTATAGCCAGCGAGAAAGAAAAATTGAACATCAAAGTGGTTGGAGAGCATTTTTACTGGACTTACAGTTTTCTATCTACCTCTTTGTGGGTCTTCTCTGCGAGCTTGTTTGCTGGGTGGAGAGCTGCTCTGGTCTCTGTCTTGATACAACCTCTTAAGGGAATTCCTGGCAGCACAAAACCAACATTTACATTATAGGCAAAAGTAGCCACTGTGTGTTTATTTGAACATGACTGATTGTGATGGCCGACTGTTAATGCTGCCCTGTGCTGTCTGTCTCTGCTTACCTTTCGATTTCGTCCATGGGAGTGGCCTGGAGAGACAAAGGAAACAAAGGGGGGGACCAGAAATCTGATTAGAAACAACTCCACTGATAAGGCATTCCTTAATGTTCCCCTTCCCTCCACTGTCTGTGTGTGATACCTTAAAAACAAGGAATGTTATCATCTCTTTAAGACTGCAGTTCCAATAACTTCTAACACAGCCACGTAAGCGTGGACACTGATGGAGAGACACAGATAGGACCATCCTGTGTTTAATCATATTGTCCAATCATTTTCTACCTCAGGCATTCACAGTACAGACTGCAATTCAGGGGTATTTTTTTCCCTTCAGTTTTAGTGACACTAACTCAGGACATGTATCTAATTTAAATCTAAATGAAAAGACCATCAGCAGAGCCTTTTTTTAAATGATCTCTGTGTACATTTTCACTCTCACACATGGCCATAGTGTGGGAAAACTGGCCTGTCTGAACAGCGCTCTCACTGCACTGTTTTTGCAAGTGTGTCTGAGTGAAGAAGAATATGAGGGTGGCATACTATGTGTCAACCACAAGTCTGTTGCACCAGGTGTGTGTGTGTGTGTGCGTCTTTGTGTAAACCCCCATAGCTTAACTTCAGCAGCAGTAGCTGCAGCGGCATGTACCTGTGCCTGGTTTCGACTCCAATTAGCTCATCTGATCTCAGGTCTATGTTTTGCCTCACTTTCGCTGGCATCCTTAACCCCCCCTGTTCCCAGCCCACTTTTCCCGCTGCATACTTTCCCACACTATTTCTTTTTCCCTGCCTCGCTCGTGCCTGTCCTCTTGCCTGCAGGAATACAGGGAGGGGGCCGCAGGTGGGATCATGAGGGAGAGGAGAGGAATAATAGCAGTTTTAAAAAAAAGGCTACCTACCATGCGTTGTAAACTGGAGTAGTGTGAGTCTGGAATGAAGAGAACCGGCTGGGTGATGTGGTCTTCCAGGGTCTGGAAGAAGGTACACTCGGTGCTGATAGAGCTACTCACTAAGGATTTGTTGGCTGGAAACAAATAAGGAAGATTTTAGATTTGGACTCACTTGAACAATGTAAATTTAGTATTTTCATCATTTGCGGTACTTACCGTTAGCATCATTGGTGTTCTTTCCCCTCCTCTTGGATCTCTTCCTCTCCTCATCTCGCATCTTCCTCTCTGCACCCTGATAACAACAACACAATCAAACATAAATGTCTCCAGAAATGTCTTTTTTTGTTTGTTTGATTACGTGAAAAGATGAATGAAGTAAAGCCGCATACCTTATCACAGAAGATCTTGACCTGGCATGCGGCTCTGTGTATCAACTGGTTGCTTCCTGAGCTGAAGTCGTAAGTGTCAATCTGTAGGTTCAGAGGAAGGCCTTTCACTCCTTTCTGAGAGGAGAAGTCTGTGCTCAGGGAGTTGATTCCGATGTACACCTTGGGAATAAGAGAAGAGAGTATTTTAACAAACATCCTGTTGGCATCAGCTTTTTGTGACAAGCTTTCATTGGTGTCATTCCTTCGGTTGTACACGTATCTCACTGGGAACATGATGACAGGTATTAGTGATACATGGCAATAAAAGCCAGTGAAGAAGGTGGTGGCATCTTGCTGGAGTGAGCCTCTGTTTGATATAAAAATAGATGATGAGTGTTTATTGTCTTAAAAAACTGGAAACACCTGCCGCTCTGAATATCTTTCTATCCTTTGCTCACTCCTTCTGTCCTCACATTTAGTGGAAATAGCTTCCTCCTTCTTCTCTCCATCTACAGCAGGTTTGGTTGGCCCCACCCCAGCGCCTTTGGGCCAAAGAGAAGCTCAGATAAGCCGACGGGGCCTTTGCTTGCTGTGGCGACAAGAGCCTGAGGGCCAAACACATTTCTAGGATTCCTCCCCTCCCTCCTCAGCCACTCCTTCTCTCTCCACCTGCCTCATCTACCTTTCCCCTCTTTTTCCTCTCAGAGTTCCACCTGTTCTGTTGCGTCTCATTTTGGTAAAACAGCCTCACGGTGCAGCCTTATATAAAAGTATCAGCATGTTCTCAAGTGGTTGTGATGTCTGTGCAAAGTTCTCCGTAGGTGAGTGCTCACCTTGGCCTCTTCGCTTGGGTTCCACACAAAAGAGAGAGCATTGAAGGCCACCTCCTCTACGTTGCTGATGCCACTGAACACTTCTTTATAGTCCGCTATTAAAAAAGAAAATGATTTGAATCACACCTGCATAGAATTCTTTTTCGGTTTCTACTTAGATAATGGTGCTGCTGCTCCTAAGTATCGTACATAACAGCATGACAAAAAACTGAGGAAATCTTTCACTTGTGCATGTCTATTTTTGTTTATGAAGAACATACCGATGTCAATGACCCTCTGCTTGGCGGTCGGCTGGCGCGCATGCCAGTGATTCCAGAAGCGGAGCTGCATTTCTGGGCTCTTGTCATTCTCAAACACAGCCATCACCACTGTCTGAAGTGAAGAAAAAGAGGTAACAGAAAAAATAAGAAGAAAATTAGCTTAACTCTGTCTGGCTCAATGCAATTCTTTCCACCTGCCTACATTTCCAAGAATAGCCAACTCTCATTTAATGACCACATTTCATTCATCACTCTAAATCCCCCTTTTCTCCAAAATTGTCATCAGTTATTTGCTGTAAGCTAGCATGTGTTTGTCTATATTCTTTTCCTCTGATTCGTTTGACAAAGAAAACCACACCACACCTTCCCCTCCTCCTTGTTCACTCCTCTCCAAACTCTGCTTGTGACCACATCAGACAAATGCGACTGAGCTGAGCTCTCCTGCACTCTGGCCTCATTACACTGCCATAAGAATAAGTTATACAGGGCAGGACACTGTCATTTTAATGGTACCAGCCCAATGTGCAGGGTGTAAGCAGGGAATTAATCACTGAAGGAACTGGCTCCAAGGGAGGAACAGATATTTGGGAAGGGTTGGCTTGGTGACACCCAAGGAATTTATGTATTAAAGCCTGAAGGGAAGGATGAACTGTGTCTGTATTTTTTGTTTTACGTAACACACATGCTCACAAAAAAAGACAACAAAACTTTGGAGGACAACATGCAACAACAAAAACTAGTCCTTTCTTTCCTGATGATGTGTCGCCATGACTCACCTTGACTTTGGTGGCAGTGAGGCAGGCGCTGCTGTCCACCCCCTGGAGAGTGATGGGGTAAAACTGGCCCTTGTTCAGGTACACCATTGGCAGCTCGCTGGACTTGTAAGGGGAAGCTGCGGGGGCTCCGAGGGAAAACTGGAAGTCGCTCCGGAGTCTCTCCCTTGGGGAGCTGTCGTAGGAGTTGGAGTAGACTGGGCTGGAGTGGTTTTCAGAGAAGGGATCGCTGTAGGGAAGAGTCTGATATCGACACACAAGGATACGTATTAGTGAAGATGATGCCAGGAAATGAGGTTCAGTTTTCAAATAATGACATTCAGGTCACCTCAGAGCTGGGGTCGGGGAAAGCAGTGTTCTCCGGCCACTTCTGCAGCAAGGAGTCAAAGATGATGTTGAGCTCCTGTTTGTCGTAAGCATCTGCGACAACGCTGGTGAGGGTGGCGTACGTGTCTGAGGTGGTGGGAGCAGAAATGGGAAGGGAGTTGTTCTGCTTGGATCCCAAAACTTCATGAGGATGGCTGGTGGGGACACTCTCGGAGAGGATCTTCATGACATTGGCAGACGCCTCCAGTGAAGCGAGCTCGTTGGTGTTGGTTAGACTCCTGGCGGGATGAAGAAATGGGGAAAAATAAGATTAAATACAACAGAAAACTCACTTCTGCAAGGTCAGCATGACTCAGGCGTATAGAGCAAGGAAACAAACAACCTTAAAGTAACAGACTGTGGTGTGTCTTTAACCGGTACAGAAGCCTGAGAGCAGTCAGCACGTGCAAATGTACACCAGTGAGTAAAAGCACTTGTTGTGCCTCAGCACACACAGCTACTGCAACAAGGGGGCACTTGGAGAAAGACAGGGATTGAGTTTGGGTGGGAACTATTTGTCCCTTAATCCAGCTTTTTTTCTTCTCTGTGTTTGAGTTTCTCTGTTAAAAATGTTTGCGGGGACAACATTGCACCCCAACAATGGCCTTTTCTCACCCAAAGAAGTAGAAATGGGGAGGACAGATGGAGAAAAAAACAACAATCTGTCTTCCTGTTGTGAAACTGTTGTAAAGCAATGACAGATATGGTGATAGAGAAAGGATAGATGAATGGAAGAGGAATGGAGATGCAGGCAATAATCTCTCTGTTTCTGTTGACTAGGGGATTACACACATAATTATGACCTCCTCAAGCCCTGCCTTTCTCTTTCTGTGTTATTACTCTTGTAAACTTCACAAAGTGATAAATGAAAATAATTTAAAGTTTCTAAATCGTCCAGCCTACTGGAAAATTACAGTGATGATTTTTGCATTGAATTTCATGTTTACTTGATGTGCAGAGACAATTAGAAACACACACAAGGACTGAAATGAATCCAACGAGTTCTGTTACTTTAGACATACCTCTCTACTGGTTTGCAGACATTTCCGGTTCGGTTGCAGGCAGCAATTTTCTGGTCTTTCTGGTTCTGGAAAAACAGGAAAATGAGAAAGCTATGATCAGAGAAAGAAAGTTAAAGTTACACTGAAGTTGAAGTTCAGTCAGGCTTCTTGTAAGTATTTATTTGATTATCTACCTTGCAGTGTTCGTAAAGCATTGCTGCTAGCTCGTCTCCTGGGTGGAGTCTGGATTTGGAGTGGTTTGGCTCAGGGACAGAGCTGTCCATGTAGGGAGCCCAGGAGTCCATGATGTAGTTTGTGTAATGGTTATAGTTGAAATTCTCACTCTGAAAGACCAGTCCCAGAGTCCTACGGCAGAGATGAAAGAGTTTAGAGTTATCAATCAGATTGACAAATTTAAATATACACTCACAAAAAGGTAGAAATGTCTAATTATAGTGATTTATTATTTTACTAATTGTTAATAATGATCTAACAAACAATAATAAAAGTTTTCAACCAGGTTCATTTGACAAACAGGGTTTGATGGAGCAAGAGTATATTGGAGTTTAGGTACAGCTGTACCTGAGCCTCGAAGCACTGCACATACTTGCCCCTCAGCATGAAAGGTTTCGATTGCAAAACCGCAGAGCTGAGTAACCTCTCTTGAATCAGCGGTGTCAGAAAGGTTTTAAAAAGCCAGGGGCCACCCATAAACATGCACACACACACACACACACACACACACACACAAACAGTGTTTTGTGGTTTCCAGTGTTGTGAAAAGAGAAGAAACTACACTCCTGAATCCCATACAAATTCTCTTATTTGCACGGATCTCAAGAGATGACAAGGGTTTCTAACTTGGTAAATAGAAACCCGCAACCGTCACTGAGGTTGAGCTCGGGGTTTCCATTTCACTTGTGGGAAGAAAAAAAAATGTGCCTGGGATTCTGACGATTGGATTTGTTTGGAAAGACTCACAGTGACATTGGATTGCAAACATCAAGCTTGCCAGGAAAAGCCCCCCTTTGGAGTTTTTCTGAGGTAGCAAATGAAAAAATAGCTGCAGTTTAGCCTGAATAAACAGCAAAGCAAATGTGCTGACAAGAGAGAAAAGATCACAGGTGTTCACAACCAGAGCAGAACCAAAGCTTAGGGAGAAATCCCACGGTTTCTCACATGGATTGATGAAAGAGCACCGAATATTGCATGGAAAGCTGTGCAATTCTAGACGCCAGACTACAACCTTTAGACTATGTTTGTTTCCTTAAAATTTCTTAAACAACACTCGCACACCTGCTCAAAGGTGCACTCCACAAGTTGTTCCCGATGTCTCCCTAAAACCAGCGGAGAGCACTTGTTTTTACACAGACAGACACAGAGAGAGGGGTGGGCTCATGTCTAGGGTTTCGCCATTATGTAATTCAATGAATTACATGCTGTCACTGCCCTCTGTCTCTGTCTAACACCTCAAGAGGAGATTCTTATTTCCCCGTCTCCTTTTGTGCTTCGTGGCCCCTAGGTTAGTGACAACACAAGCCGAAACATACCCACTGCAACTGCAGAACCAACTTTGTGCTTCTGTGCAGTGTGTGTTAAAGCTATCCATATCAATTTCCTGTGTAAAACACCCCCTTTTAAAAACAGGGATGTTTCACATGGGGGTCCCATTGCAGAGAAGCAAGAGAGGGGGGGGGGGGGTTCTGGCCCCTCAGACTGGAATCTTAATGAAAGCATTTACTATAATTACACCATGTCTGAACTAAAAAAGCTCCTATCCTGTGGATAAAAGGCAGCCTTAGGAAGAAAATAGCCTTAATATAGCACACATTTCTAGTCACAAAAGTGAAAAAAACAACACCAAAATAAAAGTGATAAAACTTACTCAGTCTCTTTGGTCATGTCTCCAGTCCAAGTCAGCCTGAATAGGTTCCGTTAATTTCTACTCTTTGCTCTTTGTCTGTGCTTCTGTCTCTGTGTCAGTCTGGCAGGGAAGAGCAGTGTCTCACTGATGAGTCAAGTGTTATGATTCCCTCTGAGCAGGGCCCAGATTTATTTAATTCCAGGAAAGTTCCCCTCTTGCCTGTGATTGGCTGAGAACACCGAAACAGGTGTCTGATAGGACAGGTGCAGAATCATTAACCCTTTCCAGGACAGGGGGAAACTGGTTCGCATGCATATGAGCGTGTACAGCCCAGAGATCCCTCTGCATGACAATCCAACGCAGGAGTTGCTCTGAATCGCATTACTGTACTGGATAAAAGAGCGAGATTGGGGATCCCAGAGGCGTGAAATGTTTGGTAATGACTCTGAGAAAGGCAAGAGAAGACAGGAACTTGGCTTTAAGATGTTAATAGTTTTTTAGTATCATTCTTCAGCCTTCCCCTTTGTTTGCATGTCATGCACAAGTTTTGGTTTCTTTACTTTCAGTTTTCATGCAAAACTTATGTGCACAGAATCACAGAAGCAAGAACAGATGCTTTATTGCTGAAAGCACTTTGCATAAATAAGCTTATTTAAAATAGATGTTTTAAAGGCAAATTAAAGTAGAGGAATTACATATATTATTTAAAATTTTAGTGCATTAGGGAGTTTTATTTATTTTCTTATTTCTTAAGGTTTGAAGAATGTGTTGTATTGTTTTTGGTCATTTTAGTGAACAATTAAAGTTTAGAATATAAAAATAAATGAATAAATGATGAACAAAACATGGAAGAAAAACACCCATTGCTCAGACTAAAAAACAAACAAACCCAGCATTAAGTTCATTTAATTAGGTTAAAAAAAGACAAAAAAGGAAAAAAGAAAAGCAGTACCACAACTTAAAACAAACAAACAAACAAACAGCATTACACATAAAAACATTCAGAGTTTAGTAAAAGTAGAGAGGGTAAGATCAACAAAAAGTGTTCGAAGCATATGCAGTAATTATGCAGAGCAGTTCCTCTTGGAGGTTTATATTATCATATATGTTGTTAGTTTTGCCCTGACATGGGCAGTAAACAACATTTTAAGGTTTCAGTTGGACAAAAATTTGCATCTACAGAAATAAATCAGATTTTATAAAATGATGTTTGGTGCAATTTGATCTGTAAAGTAACAATAGCTGTTAAACAGATGGAGCTGAAGAGTTACAAGTGAAATTTGTTTTTATTTTATTTTATTTTTTTATTTATTTATTTATTTTTATTTATTTTTTTTTTTTTTTTTTTTTTTATTTTAAAAATACTGCAACATTTGCCTCTGAAAAGTTGTGGAGAAAAAAAAATTGAAAATGAAAAAGTAATGTACAACAATGCACTGCTAACATTGTATTTAATGTTGCAAAATAATTATAAAATAATTTGCCGCAATTCATTTGCACAGCCCATCAAGTAATGGATTTACCACTAAATACATTTTTGACTTTGTATGTGGAAGGAGGACGTGATTCAGGTGAGGGGAAGGTGAAAATGAGCAGAAACAGAGCTTGCATCGACGACCATGAACCGTGTAGATTGTGAGAAGATGAAATGTTGTTTCACAATGACTTAACAGTAGAACACACATACACACACTTCCACATCTTCCAGTTCGTGCCACCCGAAATCCAAGAAGTGCGAGCTCTTCATGTCACTCATGAATACTATCTTCCACCCACACACTGATAAACATTTACACAAACCCATACACACACATGCACAGAGAGAGTGTGTATCACTGTTTATCTGTACGTTCGTGTATGTGTCTAAGCACCTCTTGTGGCTGACACCTGAGGGGATCTGGCGTGGTAACGCAACAAGGGTGCGTGCTGTGCCGCTTGCCCACACACTCATGCACACCCTCGTTGAATAACACACATGAACACATGGAGCCAGAGGGCAAATTGGCAACGAATCAAGAGAGAAAGAGAAAGAAAGAAGCCTTTCCTTGTATGACACACCTTCATTACTCCACAATACACAAGTCCTCATCTATGCAATTATGGCGTTATTCAAGGTAAAGCCCATTACTCAGGTCTGTATTTCTGTACTTTCACCAACAAACCCATTCAGATGTTGCATAAAATCTGGGATCATGAGGTCTAACAGAGGGCACAAGATGTGAAAAGACCAGCCATGGTAACATGGATGTGGATGTTCACAACAAAGTAATCATCCTCTCCACTCGTTAAGGGTGTGAACAACTTCTCTCAGAGTCTGTTTCTGTCTCACCCTGTCAATTCAATATTTCTCTATCTATCCCTCATTAGTGCTGAGAAATTAACACATTAAAACATTTAGTGCTTTGATCCCCACTTTTGTCTCGCTGTCACTCTCTCTCTCTCTTTTCTCTTTAACAAACAGGAAAATCCTGATGAAGACCCTGATGCACACGCCTAGCATCAGTCCCCTGAAATATCACTTTTTGTGCACTGCATCGACACTTGAAAGGAAAGGAACATTTGCTGTAAATGTGAAATAAAGTTGGGGGGAAAAGACATACAAATTAAATTCTAAAATTGAAAGTATGAAAGTATGAATACATTTGCCAAAACACAATTCCTGTAATGAGCATTGTAATGTCATGCTACACTCTTAAACGTAATTTGTAGGACATTTTCACGCCACTTAATTAAATGCATGGCTGCAAGATAGAACATTTAATTCGCTTATTTAGATTAACTTTTTAAGTTGCAAGCATTATTTTGATGAGTTGTGTTGACATAATGTTGCATCATCTTAAAATTACATGTAACTGAAACTCAAATTTCTGTATTTGTTGATTTAAAACTTAACTCAAATTGAGCTAACCTATTGGCTAGAAAACTTAATTTTTCTTTATCTTGAGTTTAGGATTTCCAGTCCCCCTTTTAACATACCTGGATAATTTCAGATGGTCATTACTGGTAATTACAAAATACTGTTGATTACAGAGAAAAAGCTAATTCTCAGTGTAGTTTGTTGGTTGAATATGACTTTATTAGATGTTACCTTAACTCAAAAAGATGGATGCAACAATACACACAATGTCCTGTCAGCCCACTTGCAATTATTAAATGTTTACCACTATTTCATCATAAAGAGTCAAATCCCAAACCAGGTCAGCTAAAGATACAAAAACAGACATTTGTGTGAATCCCATGTTTCTTTCCGGAAGATTTTCCAGTGAAATGAAGGAAAGCGGAATATAAATTCCTGTTCCATTTTTCTGAGTAACTGAAAACAAATACAACAATCATAAGGGAAGAAAATCCCTTTGTCCAAACTCCAACTATGGCATCAAAAAGTTCAATCAAACTTCCTTAAAGCCTCCAGTTCGGTGTTGCAATATCATGTCAAATTAAACGTAGGCCTCATTAGCCCCGTAAAGACTTCTGGCTCAAGCTGACAAAAGGTGGGAACGATGGGGAACCAAGAAGATGGATGGATGTCACAAGTCAAACGGCTGCCTTGAAACTCATCCATGGAAAAGTAGGAAACCAAGGCCCAAGTGCCGAAGCACTTTGGTGTGTTGTGTGTGTGCATGTGAATGAGGGCTTGCAACCAAGCATGGTAGCAAACAAACAGACATCAGCTCTGGCTCTACGCACGACTGCTGCTGAGTAGAGGCGCTCTCATCACCTCTCTCCTCCCACCTCTCTTTCTCCTTGTCCTGTCTCCCACTTACTCTTCTTTTCACCTTCCTTTCCTGCTCCCCCTTTCCCTTACAACCATTTGACCAATAAGCCTTATCTGCTCGTGCCACTTGAGAACATTTAAACACGACATAATCCTCAAACATGAAGATCCCGCGCTTTCAGACGCTCCAAACATCATGCAAGGTAAAAAGAAGTAATGAAAATAGAGGTCCGCTCTTTTGTTCTTAGTCTGGTCTTCTTCACCAACTCTTACACATTATATGTATCTGTCCATCTCTTTCTCTTTCTGTATCTCTCCATCCGCTCTAATGTCTGGTTTGTTGGAGGAATGTGAGCTGAGGGTTGAGAGATATAAGGAGCCCGGGGTATGCTGCTCTCTGTTGGCTCCTCACTCCATAAAGGCCTCATGATAAGAAGGTGCACCTGTTAACTTAAGGCCCCGTCATATTAACGTCAGCTGCACTGCTTTTCCATTTCCTATTGGTGCTACTTCTTTAAGAACTCTCAACTGCAAAAAAGGGTCAGTTACTGGCCAAAATTCATGATCTTAACAGCAGGTTGTCAAAACATTGTCACATCAGATTCAGAATCAACTTTATTGGCAAAGTTTGTACATGCAAAAAGGAATTTGACTCTGGTGAATCTTAGCTCTCTGTATAAGAAATAAAGAAATAAACCAGAACAATAAAGTAAGAGCAGTATTTACAATATGTGTGAAAACCAGGGTTACTAAGGTAGGTGTGGTAACATTTAAAATAGTGCCAATATTTGCTATTGCACCGTGGTTCCTGAGTCTAAGAGACTGGTAAGGGAAACATCTAATTATTCCAAAGTTTGCAGTTATTTACTTAACTGCACAAATCAAGGTCAAGCATTCATGCAAACTTGGTTGTAGATATGACAAGCTTTGGATTGTGGAACTGAAAAATGCTTATGAACCCATTAACTAAAGAGTGTGTGTGCATGAGTATTTGAGATTACAATCTGCATCACTTAAAACCTATTCGGGACTTATATATTGTACAGTTTTTAAACTTTACTGTATTCTACCTGTTTTTTATTTATTTTTTTTATTTGGTGCAGTGCATTTAACTTTTCACCGCCTAGGCTGGTCCCCTAAGGCCATTTGGTTTAGGGGACAGGTATTGTTTTTTTATTTTTATATTTTTAAAATATAAATAGAGGGATATTTGTTGTGCATTTGGAACCAAAAATATGTCAACTTGTCAGAAAATGTAGTTAACATAGTATAAAAGCCTACAATGAATACCAACAAATATTTTGCACATATTCTTTCTTGGGGTCCAATGGACCCCAAAAAACCTTCTACGTATGGCAACACGAAAGTTGAATACGGTTAAGGACAACATGTTGTCCTCTAAGATCTGTAACCAGTTCACCAGTGTGTGTTTT